CTGGAGAAGGCAGGTCAAAGAAACGTGCCTTCCACTTAGAGCAGAAGGTGTGAGGTTTGTGATGGCCCTTAGTCTTGGAGGAGTTCATTCCACAGTCTCAGACCAGCCCCTCAGAAAGTTCAGATTTCAAAGTAGGCAATTTATATACACATCACCTCGATCAATCGATTCCCAGTGCTTTGAAAAGTAACACCCCACGTATGGTGAGTGCTAAGATCTTCTGACACCTCCAGCTTGGATTGAAAGCTTCAGATTTCAAACACTCTAAAGTTTGGATCGAGGGTTGCGGCGGAGGTTTTGGTTTGGTCCGTTAGAACGATCGGAGCTATTTGCAAAGTTTGGATCTGGATCCAGGTTTGGAGTTCAAACGCTTCAAAAGCTCATGGATGTCAAACCCAGAACTGTGGCCTGAATCCATTTCTAGTTCTCACTCAGAGAACAGCAAAGACTGAAATCCTCACATCAGCTGATCTGCTAAACATCTCACACTCCCTGCTGGGCTAATTGATTTCTCGCCTTTGCCCATGTGTTTGTACAGTTTCCCCCAAATGGCCTCTTGGAGCTTGGGGCATTCCTTGTAACTCCATATTTAGTTATCCTGATTCAGCATGTACCTTGCTTTGAGTCCCTTTTCACTGTTGCAGGCAGGCCATGTTTGTATAACCCAGAACTATTGCCTTCCTTTCTGTAAAACCTGCCAATAGATTTTCATACTGAATAAGAAATTCACAGCTCAGAGATGGGTAGGGTTGCCAATCCTCCCGGTTTCGCTGGAAGCCACCCGGATTCAGGCTCTATCTCCCGGAGGCTATTGAAGCCAAACGGGGAGATTTTAGACCGCTAAAAGTCCGGCGGCGCAGTGGGGCTAAGGCAGGTTCCCTGCCTGCCCTGGGAGTGGGGAGGGGGTCTCTGCATGCTGCCTCCGTCCCGAGTGCTGACTCCGCAGCTCCCATTGGCTGGGAACTGAGGCCAATGGGAGCTGCGGGGGCAGTGCCTGCAGGCAGGGGCAGCGCACGGAGCCCCCTAACCCTCCAGGGGATACAGGGACATGCTGGCTGCTTCCGGGAGTGGTGCGGGGCCAGGGCAGGCAGGGAGCTTGTTTTAGCCCCGCTGTGCCGCCAACCAGGAGCCGCCTGAGGTAAGCGCCGCCCGGACTGAGCCCACAACCCTCACCCCCTACTGCACCCCAACACCCTGCCCCTCCCTGAGCCCCCTCCTGGAGCCAGCACCCCAAATCTCCTCCCGCACCCCAACCGCCTGCCCCATCTCTGAGCCCCCTCCTGGAGCCAGCACCCCAAATCTCCTCCTGCACCCCAACCCCTGCCCCAGGCTCAGCCCAGAGCTCCCTCCCACACTCTGAACCCCTTGGCCCCAGCCCAGAGCCCACACACCCACCCTCTGCCCCAGCCCAGTGAAAGTGAGTGCAGGTGGAGGAGAGCGATCGATGATGGGAGGGGGGATGGAGTGATCGGGGCAGGTCTCCGGGAAGGGGCGGGGCAAGGTTGTTTGGGTCTGTGTGATTAGACAGTTGGCAGCCCTAGAGATGGGTCCTGCACCGTGGAATTCAGATCACAAACTACTAAGTTTGGAGGAGTCCAGATCTGGCGGGGGTTGGTTCATAATGGAGGGAGGAGCTAAACATAAAATTTGAATCTTAATCTGGGTGTAGATGCCTGTCTGCCCTTCACCCTATCACAGGAAAAGGTTAAGGGGTATTTGGACTTCGGATCATTTTAGTTCAGGTCCAGCTCTAGTTTAAGTGAAAGAAGGAGAAGAACATAACTACTTACATCAAGCCTTTGACCCGGTTATGGAGACCCAGTCAGGGCCCGTCTAAACTATGGCTTTTAAGGGTCTGATCCAACGCCCATTCCAGGCAATGGAAGGACTTTTATTGACTTCACCGGGCTTTGGATTAGGCCCTTACACTGGTCCCCTGACTCCATCCCAGTGTTGGAGGGGCCTCTATAATCTAAAGATCAACCCTCAAACTCTTACTCAGGACTAATTAGAGTTTGCACAATATTCTTATTGTTGTGCAGTTTATTTATAGTAGCACCAGCTATGTGCTCAACAGATTCCAAAGACTCAAGATGTACCATTCCCTGCTCACAGTCTAAAGACAGGCAGACCAGGAAACACAGGGTGAGACAAGGGGAGCAACAATAGACAATTTATATGCAAGTCACCCCCAGGCTTTGAATGCCCCATACAGAGTGAGTGCTAAGTATTAGACAGCCCCCTCCGACAGCTCACGCTTGGATTGAAATTCTTGGCACCTGGCTTGTAACCACTTGGAAATATTTATCCCTGGTTTGCACCCTCCCCATCCCACCCCCAGCTTGACCGTTCATGGCACTGACAGGAAATGTGAGTGAAATGTCAGCTCCTCAGTGAATTCAGCAGTGTGTTGTGTCCCCAGTTCCTCCGGAGGTGGTGAATGAGACTGGTTTTCATTGACACTGCCTGGGCATTTGGCATTTCAGACTACAAAGTGTCATGTCCATTCGGCGGGGCCATAGTGATGTTAATGAAGTGGTGTCAATCTCTGGCTAAACTGGTCCAGCGCGCTGCAGTCTACACAGAGACATTCGCTCTGAATAGCTCCTGAAGGGATTTTGTTTTTATTCGGGGAAAGTTTTAGAGGCAACTTGCCTACCAAAAATACACTAACAAAAATATTAACACTCTACCTCGACAGTATGCAGTATGTTCAGCTTTCGTAATGAATTAATGGGGCTTGGCTGTTTCTAGAAAAAAATAAAATCTGAGCATTTTCCTGTTTTTTACTGGTAGGGAATAACACCGCTCTGAAGACATAACCACCTACCCCACTGCTGGGGTCCAGGGCTCACCAATGGGGGTCGGTCGGTACTTTGATGGAAGATGTAAAACAACACCTTTGAGACTCAGGAGGTTGCATGCTACCTGAGTCAGTCGGAGTCTGGTATTAGGGGTCACTGGTATTAGGAGTCACTGAATTGCGGGAGCTACAGAGGTGTAAAAGCCAGGTGCTGACCACTTGTGGCAATTAAAGATTCCATGGCACATTTAATGAAAGCAGGGATGTTAACCCCAGTGCCTTGGCCAAATTCCCATTCAGGTAATTAAATCTCGCTTGCCTAAATTCCCCCTGCAGACTCTGCTGGAGATGGTGTTCTTCACTTCCTAAACTGTTTTATAGTGTTGTTAAACAGCTGCCATGTACCCCACAAGAGGTGGATGACTTATTTTTTAATTCATATTTTGATTAAAATAAGGCAAAGAGGCAGACACCATAAGTAAGCCCGAACACAGAATAATTACGAGCTCATTAGCAGTTCTCAGAAGGTATTCAATTGGCTTCCCAGAACAAAAAGCCAGCATTGTGTCTGGAATACAAAGCTTGGAATATATTTAATATGCAAACCTGATGTAGCTGTCTTAAGTGCTCAGATACCATAGTGATAAATGCATTATGAAAAACTAAATAGATAGGTTTCGTGTGAGAGAGAGGGGGGATTAAGATTTAGTCTGTCTATACCACAGATTTCTGCTGGCATAGCTGTCGGTTAGGGGCTTGAAGAGGTGTGATCTCTGACTGACATAACTCTGCCAGCACAAGTCCCAATTATATCAGCAAAGTGGCACTTTTACCAGCATAGCTTGTTTCATTTTGTGGGGATGGACAGAGACAGGGAGCTGAGCTAAGCTATAATGGTAAAACTGGCACTTTCCTATACTGGCAAAGTACTCCTAGTGTCAACATAGCCAGGATTTACCTCCAATCATCACTGAGTAAATGAATAATGAAGAGAAGTGGAGAAGCATTAAAACACACACACACACACACACACACAGAGTCAAAAATGGCTCCAGCTCTCTCCCCCCCATCCCCCCAGCTTAGTGCAGATCTAGATCAAAATTTCTCCAAAGTTCATGGAGGATTTGGCTTGGAGTTTTGGTTTGAGCCCATCACTGAATTAAAAAAAATCATTATCAAAGACTAGCCGAATTAGCTAATAAACATCAAGAAATGGCAATCCTCCATCTAGCCCCAACACAATCACTCATAGGGTTATCATTTCACATAAACAGCTTCAAATGAAAACTTGAATGATTGATGGACACATCTACCCATCCATAGGTTTTCTATAGCTCAGATCACTGTAGTATCTAAAGCTCAGATCCCCAAAGATATTTAGGTGCCTAACTCCCATTGATTTCAATGAAAGTTAGATGCTTCAATATCTTTGGGGATTGGGACCCAAGTGCCTTACTGATCATCCTTTTATTTTATGGTATCGTTGAGATCACCCCACATTTCAGTGTTTAGAAAGAGTCTTATTCATTCTGCGTGCCAGAGGCACCAACCCCCAGGCACAAAACAGTCTTTCATTGTTGGTGTTCATAGATTTTTCCATCTACAGAGCAAATGTGAGACACTTGTTCCCCCCAGAGAAAACGGACAGAGCATTCAAACCGTGTCATGTTTCATAGGCCGCTGTGCTGTAGTTCATTTGTGGGTAAAGTTATCCCTCCCAGAAGCCTGATCACAATGAGGATGACGATCTATATTACCGTGGTACCTTGACGCCCCAGCTGAGATCAGAGCTCCATTGTATGAGGTGCTGTGCGCACATAGACTGACACACAGCCCCTGTTCCCAAGGGCTTATGATTGAAGCAGATGAGACAAAGGAAGTATTGTTACACCAGTGCTTTTTCCCCAAACAGAGGCCCAGTGATTCAGGGCCAGATTTTTAAAGGTCTGGAGGCGGGGCCGGCTCCAGCCACCAGCGTAGGAAGCAGGTGCTTGGGGCGGCCAATTCAAAGGGGCAGCACTCTTCCCGGTATCGGGGCGGCACGTCCGGGTCTTCGGCGGCAAGTCCCTCATTCCCCCTCTTCCTCTTTAAGCTGCGGCCGAATTGCCACCGAAGAGGAAGAGAGGGAGGACCCGCGGTGCGATTTAGCTGCTGCCGAAGTGCCGCCGCTCGTCTTCTTCTTCTTTTTTTTTTTTTTGCCGCTGGAGCCAGCCCTGTCTGGAGGTATCTAACTCTCATTGATTTAATAGAAATCAGATTCTCCTCTTGATGCCTGTGATATCATTTTGTTTCCAAGTCATCTGTGAGGCCTGCTGAAGGAAAAAGGGGTAGACAAGCTCTGGTTTGAGAAATCAGAGACCTTCCTTATGTTAGGGATCAATATACCTTTAAAATTTGACCCTAAGTGACTTGCCTAAGGTCACACAGGGAGTTTGTGGCAGAGCCAAAACTAGAACCCAGCTTTCCTGAGTCCCAGTCTAGGGCTTTAACCACAAGACACCTCAGCCCTTAAGTACAGAGTGTACCCACCCAACAACCGCACACATAGACTATCCCCTGAGCACCCATGCAAGGCGTGGAGGAAACTGAGCCGGAGTTAACTCCTTGTTTACCAGGACCCCGCTACACCACCCATCACATCATCAGCCATGCAATCACAGAAGCTTTTGCTGGTCTGTTCTGAACACATGTATGAGCATGCGGTGCTTCCAAGTGACAGTGGGAGTCTTGTTACAGAGCTTGCTGCTTCAGAAAGACATGGACTCACCCGGCCATTAATAGCACCATCTCCCCGCTCAGCCTCATACTCGCATGTTTGTATGATGTGAAATAATATCCCGCCACCCTAAAGACCGCAATGTCCAAGCCCCGACTCGCGTTACCGTGTTTTAGTTCCTGCTGCTGCTGCGGGTCATAATTCACTGGGGGTGCCATCACCAAACAACTGCATTAGCTTGCTTTATGGCTCAGTTCCTGTTAACTGCCCAGACAGCTGGATTGCTGATCTTTCCAGAATGCCCGCGAGCTCTCCCAGCACCTCACCTGCATCTTCCTCGTCACAGGAGGATGTCAACTGGTGTATCACCGCTGCCCATTATCACGCTTTGGCCAGCAGTTTTTCAGATCAGCAGAAGGTCTGTGCCACCGGAGACACCTCTCTGCAAATCCTCAGTTTGCTTTCCATGTAGCGCCCACAGCAATTGATAACGGGCCAGATGCTGGCTGCGGCTACAGCTTGTTAAGAGCTGGTGTAAAGAGCACACAATGGACGCCATGAGCAGTGTACAACTACAGCAACGAGAAAACCTATCGACCATGCGGCATGAAATTGAGCACCGTCAAACGGCACCTTATCTATTAACTAACTCTTTGCTTTTACACAGACTCAGGGTATGTCTACCCAGCTGGGCACGGGCTAGCTTACCCGATAGCCTGAATCCGGCTAGCGTGGCTAACAATAGCAGAGAAGTCACTGCAGCACAGGCAGGACCCTGGGTATGTATGCAGCTCACCAGCCCAGTCTGAAGCCCACGCTGCACTGACTTCTCTGCGGTTCTTACCCGTACCTGCTGGCTTCAAGGTAGCTCGCTTAGGCGAGCCCAGGCATGGCTGTGTCTGGATCCTCAGATCCTCAGAGCACTCCTGTAACTCCGCCACTACTGCCTACCCCACTGCAGAGTCCCGTGATGGGGATAGCTGCCCAGGTGGCATACAACTTCTTTAGAAAGCCCTGTATCAGTCCCCACAGCCCCCAGTGTTCAGAGCAGGTCACGGGCGTGGTGGGAGGGAAAAGGCACAGCTGGAGCACGCTGAGTTCTGGTCGTCTTTGGCTGGCACAACAGCCCTTGGGCGCCTGCCGTTCAACTGTGCTACCCTCAAGTCATTGGGTGGTTGCTCGACATGGTGCTTAGGAACAAAGCTCCAAAAACTGCCCATACATGGCTCCTTCTTCCTTCTAGGATCAGAGTAAAAGTAGTGCCACCTCCAGCACCAGCCCTCACAGCTGTCCCCATAAAGACAAAGACATGAAAACAACCTCAGCCTCCAAAGATCCGGTTCCCTTGGGACATTTTTAAAGCCATAACATCTGCAAGATTCCCTGGAGCCAATTCTCACTGGCCACAGAAAGACGGGTGGTGAAGACCTATTAGGTTATCTCCATCATGGAATCTCAAACATTTCGATGCTATGGACCACTTCTTAGGGAAGAGGGGGAGACTGTGACTGCCTCCCGCAACTTCTGTATGAAGCCTATTGAGGCAATGTGACCTAGCAGCTAGACCATTAGATGAGGACTCATGAGATGTGGGTTCCATTTCTGGCTTTGCTTCTAGCCTGCTGAGTGATCTTGGGGAAGTCACTTCACTGCTATGTGCCTCAGTTTTCCCCACCTGTGAAATGGGGATAAAGATACTTGCCTACTTTGTAAAATGCTTTGTGATCTACTGATGAAAAGCGCTATAAAAGAGCTGGGTATTATTATTATTATTATTATTATTGATTACATCTAACATGTAGTTTTGGGGGCAGCACTAATTAGGGAAGATGAGAATAAACTGTGAAATGAAATAAAATAGATGAGATGAAAATAAACACTCTGTAATATGAAGAGTGAGGCTGCAGTTAGTTTCCACACACACATCTAACCCTTCTGCTTTTACTTCCGCTCCCTGTGGGCAGGACCTATCATCTGTGGCCCAATTCCTCTGCAATGCTTCTTCTAGCGTTTGGGAAATGCTTAGCAAAGGTTGGCTCAGATCAAAGTCATTTACTGAATAGAAATGTAGACAGTGCTTTTACCAATCACTGATCACTGACTTCAACGACTAACATAACCTAGACTGAGAAGATGAATCTTTGTTCCCCTGTGATGGCTGGTTAGGGTGACCAGATGTCCCAATTTTATAGGGACAGTCCCGATATTTGGGGCTTTGTCTTATGTAGGCGCCTATTACCCCCCACCCCGTCCTGATTTTTCACACTTGCTGTCTGGTCACCCTATGGCTGGTCTACCTAAGAGGAAGAATCTACTCTTATTGTTGGCTAATGGCGTTATCCCATCACCTCACGTGGTAGGACTGCATGCTGAAGGTCATGGGTTCAAACCTCCCCGATGACCCAAGTGGCGAATTGATATACTTGAACAAAACATAACTGCTTACTTGAGTGAAATGCTCAGATAAGCTGTTCAAGTGCTCGATAACAGCCTGAGAAACGTTATGCAAGTTATTTACTTTGGCAGGAGGCTTTCTCGTTGCATGTTCTTTCCACTGCTCTTGGGCTTCAGCCTGCAAAAGGCTGAGCCCAACCCCTACTGATTTTGGGAGGAGTCAAGTGTGTTCAGCACCCTGCAGGATCAAGCCCCTGATCTCTCCAGGTCATTGTTTGTAAACTTTGAAGTCTGGCTGACGCATCACCATTGTGCAGCCCCACCTGAAAGTGCCCTGTGGACCAACTGAGTGTTGAGCAGCACAGCTGTAGAATCACTAGCATAGTTCATCCGGATGCTACCGCACATACACGCGGACAGATCATCAGCTGCAGTAAAGGGTCCTAGTTCCATTGGCTTCACTGCAGCGACGCCAGTTCATACCAGCTGAGGATCTCCCCTACATCTCCATATCCACTAGCACAACAACCGAGTCAAGTGAACGTCTTATAACAGGGCCTGGTCCAAAGCCCAGTAAAGTCAATGGCCGCTAATATTCGGCCAGTCTAGCTTTAAATGACTCATCCAGTGGGACTTCCGCCACTTTGCTTGATAGACGTTGCAGTTAGCAAAATGTGACTATGCTGTGGGTCTGGATATATGTCCAGGGCCTGATTCCACTCTCATACCAGTGTAAACAAGGAATAACTCCACCCACATCGCTGGACTTACGCTGGCTTCCGAGAGAGCAGAATAAGGCCTACGGCACGCAGAGTTTGCATTAAAAACGTGTGTGCATCTTTAAAAAGAATGTTCTGAGCCTGAATGGTTTTTCCTCCCTGGGGACCTGAGTACTCAAGAAAAAATAATCACATTGAGATTCGCTCGCTCTTTCTCTCCCCCCCCCCGTTATTTGAACAGCTGGTTTCAGGAAAGATATTACACTGCCCTTTAAGTTTAATAACTGCCATGGGGTTCTACTGGGTTACAGTGCCAAAAATTCCACATCCAAATAGTGCATCAGCAGAACTGTGACTGCGAAAGCTTGCTAGATCAAAATGCAATCCCGCTGCACAGCGCTCAGCAGTTTTACGAACACTGCCATGCAAACAGCTGGGGCAGGCTAAGGGACTTGCTTTAGTTTAAGAAGTTCTAAGCCGCCTGCACGGGAGGGGGGTGCTAGCACTTGGCAAAATGACAGAATCATAAAGGTTTTATAGGAAGCCTAAATTGGAGATAATGGACCCAATGACTCTCAAGCGCAACTCCAGTGAGGTCAAGTGAATTACACCAAGGGTTCATCGGACCCATCCCATTTATTTTTAGTTTCCCCTTTAACATTCCTGTGTGTGTGTATTTATATCACTCCCCTCCCACTATTCCCCTCTCCTACCCCTTTGTGCTTTGATTTCATTTACAGGATAAGATTTTTCAGGACAGAGCCCATGGGCACATTGTGATCTTGGTGACATGAGTTTAAATCCAGAGTGACTCCACTAGGATGAATGGAGCAACTCCAGATTTACACTGTTATAGTGGAGATCAGAATCTGGGCCTGTTGTCTTTTAATGTACCAGTAAAGTGCCATGCATATCTACCTTTATTAAAAGTTAGAGATTAATGAATTCCACTGAGTTTAACTGAGGACTTGTCTACATGGGGACACTCAGAAAAGTTAATCCACATTAACTTTTAAAGTGGATTAATAAATTCACATTAAATCCCGCTGTGGACATTCTGACTCAGAATAAAGACTATGTCTACACTGTGCTGTAGTGAGGACTTCGGGCATGTTAACGGCACAGTGCACAAGAGTTGCATTCTAGCTGCCCGTGTGGACACTGCTGGCAAGAACTAGAAGGTACCTAGTTGGTGTCAAATATAGTCCTCTTTCAAACAAGCCTACATTAACGCAAACTAGACACCTTTTAGTTTGGGCCAGCAGTGTCCACATGGGGCAAGTTAGAGAGCAACTCTTTGGTGTGCTCTGCAATTCCCATCCCCATAGTCCTCACTGGGGTGCCATGTGGATAAGCCCCTAGAGTCTCTAATTAGTTAAGGCTAATTCAAGGCCCAAACCAAATTAAGGCCACTTTAATTCACATGGGGTTTTAATGCAGCTTTACTAATCCACTTTAAATTCACACCCTTAGTTAATTTAGATTAATTTCCTGAATGTCCCCATGTAGATGGGCTCTGAAACTTTATGAGCAAAAGGGAGAATTCTGGCTCTCTGTTTCATTAGAAACTCCTCCCAGCCAGCAAGGTATCACGTTATGGCTGCCATTGGTAAAAGGCTTAACATTGTTGCTAACAGCTGGTGGAGCCAGTGGCCTTAACAAGGGCCAGCTCTGTAAAAAGGGAGAGCTAAAATTCTCCAGCGAAACATGGGAGAAGCAGTGCTTCATCTTGTGGACGGTGCCAATCTGCGTAGATGGACAGCAAACCAAATCCAAGAGTGAGTCACGGGTTGTCTGGATCTGCTCACACCCGGGATTTCCGGTCTCGGCCAATCACATAGAAATGGGCTTTTTTGGTGGGTGGGAGGGTCCCAAAGGAGGGCATCGCAGCAGGTTGGAAAAATAACAAGCCAGAGAAGTTACATGTTCGGTGAAAAGGGAACCCCACATAGGGAAAGAGACAGACGGATGGGACACAGGTCATGAGCCAAATGGCAGGAACTGTATATCACACCACAGGAATGTGTTGGAGGGTTTGTGAAGGATACTTGAGGAGCACAGAAATCTGAGTATTATCAGGCAGGAAAACCACTATCATGTATGGGTCTGATAAACCCCAGAAGAGCCCCGAAGAATGCCATCATGGAAGCTGGAGTAGTTTATGAAGTGCCTTGGGAATGCAGAGGGAGATTGTGGGGAACCCAAAGCAGATTACGCCAAAGGAATGAGGAATGATCCCCCTGTACTGGCCACTTAACATTTCTGGTGCTATTCAGCTGCTTGGGAAAGGTGCTTCCTGGAATGAGGATAAAAACAAGGGAGCGGCCCACCCTACGGCGAGTTTATTTGGTGGCAAAACACCAGCCCTCTCTGTTTTGAGGTACCTGTATCTTTGGGCAGCTACCCAGCCCATCTC